AGTTGTTAAAAACTTTAAGGACTTGTTACATGAATCTAATTGAGCGACTGCGTCAGGTTCACGATTGGGCTATGTAGTTAGACTACATTGACTTATTTCTTTTTTATTATTTCTTTTTATTTGTTTCTTAAAATAGGACCTGGCATAGCCCAGGCTTGCTTTAAACTCTGTGTGTAGCTGAGGATGACCGTTTGCTTCTGACCCTTTTGCCTCAGTTCTTGGATTTTACAGTGTACTCTGCACCTGGTTAGATCTGTCTTTTTGTTGTTGTTTAGGGAAAAAAAAATCCCAAAATTAGAAAACAAACAAAAACTCTTAGATACCTTATTCAAGGGTAGGAGGGATGGATAGTCTGTGATTATGTTAGTAGGTGGAAGTTTTTTCCTGTTTTTAGCTTTTATGTATATATATCATAGCTCATAGTAGATCAATTAAAGGATACCTTTGTTTGTTTGTTTGTTTTTGTTTTCTCGAGACAGGGTTTCTCTGTTTAGCCCTGGCTGTCTTGGAAGTGCCCTGTAGACCAGGCTGGCCTCGAATTCAAGTGCTCTGGGATCAAAGTGTGCACCACACCGCCACTGGCTCTCATATTGTGTTTTTAAGATACTTTGTTTAAGATATTTTGTAATATTTTGCTTCTTTGTTGATAGCTTCATTCAGACATACAATGTATCTTGATCATTGGTCTCCAGACTCGTCCTCTCACTCCTTTCAGACTCCTCCATGTCTTCCTCCTCCTCTTCCACTCTGCACTCAGGTAGTGCGGCCTGCACTTACGTGGCCTCTCTACTTCTGATCATATCCCTGAAGAGAGCTATTTCCCCTTCTCCAGCAGCCATTGGTTGTGAATAGATCCTCAATTTGGGTGGGGCCTTAATGTGCCCCCTCCCTGTCCATATTGGAATTATTGCCTGGCTTCTTTTTGTGCAGGCCTTGGGAAGGTAGTTCTAGCTACTGTGAGTCCAGAGAGAGCAGGTCTTTGTCACTTCCAGAGGAAGTGTCATGTCATGTCACTCCTCCCTGTCTCCTGGCCCTTATTTTCTTCCTGAACCCTCTTCTGTGTAGTCTGCAAAGGTCACAGGGGTTGATACAGATGTGTCACTTATGGCAGAACATTCAGCAATCCTTATTCAAAGGGCTTTGACCAGTTTCGAGTCTCTAGTAACCGTCGACCGCTACAGAGAAACATTTCTCTGACTGAAGGGGAAGCAGTGCTAATCTATGAGTAGAAGCACATGCACCTAGAGGCAGGTTCACATACTGACACTGTGAGCTCCTCAGTCATAGACGTTTGACTAGGCTCATAGTACTCAGTATGAATTTCCTTCTATGGATCAGGCTTCAAGTCCAATCAGAAGAGCTGGTTACTCTCACAGCCTTCCTGCTTCTGTTTCACCAGTAGGCATGCCTTGCCGAGTCCACAGCTGGGCATCTGTTGGTGACTTTTCTCCCCCACTGTCCTACCTGGCATTTATGGCACTATGCAAAGTGAGCCAGCCGGGAGGAGTTTCAGGTCAGTTCCAGCTTGATTTCTCTCTGTGCTGTAGCCACAGTCAGTCTTGTCTTCAGCACTGGGTTTTGCCATTGGGTTATGATAGGCTGCTAAGAGCAGTGTCAGTAGTTTGTGTTGTTGTGGGAGTCTCTGGGGCCTTCTGGCACTGAGGGTTTTATGTAATAACCTATGTCTTCTAGGGGAAGCATTGTCCACCTATGCAGAATATTTCTGTCCAAGCTCCTTTAAAAATTAAGTATAAAAAATTAGTTTACTGTAACTGGAGAGATGGCTCAGTGATTAGGAGCACTGGCTCCTTTCACAGAGGATTTGAGTTAAATGCCCACCTGGAGGTTTACAACAACTCTAACTCCAGTTCTAAAATTCAACATCTTCTGGTATCTGTGGACACCAGGCACACATATGGTGCGTATGCACACATGTAAGCAAAACACTTATACTCCAAATAAAACTGAATGAATCTTAAAAAAAAAAAAAAAAAAGGTTTCCATGAGGCTTTTTTAGACACCCTAAGTTTTTTGTTTGTTTGTTTGTTTGTTTGTTTTGTTTTTTGAGACAGGGTTTCTTTTTATAGCCTGGGCTGTCCTGGTACTCACTCTGTAGACCAGGCTGGCTTCGAACTCAGAAATCCGCCTGCCTCTGCCTCCCAAGTGCTGGGATTAAAGGCGTGTGCCACCACTGCCCAGCATAGACATCCTAAGTTTTAGTTAACCTACTGGAAACTGCCTTTTCTCCCTAGTTCCCTCCCCTATTCCCACTTAAGCTTTTAACTCTCAGAGTCCTCACAACTTTGTATTGCATGTGTTCTGTCCCTTCCTTCCATTAAGACCCTTTTCCCTCCTAAGTAGGGGAAGTTTTAGGACTTTGAACGTAGTTCTGGGGATGGGGCCCGGTTCTACAGCCCCACCTCTCATATTTGGTGTTTGGTTCTTTGAGAACTTTATACTCTATTTAGGATAGTGTACTAAAAATAGCTACCAGTTGTGTATATATTTTAAGTGCTTCTGTAACAAATCACTATAAATTTAGCATTTTAAAACAACACAAAGGATTATGGGTTTAGTCCAATGTAAGCTCTTGCCTAGTAAGCATAAGGCTCTGGGTTTCACTCTTAGGTCCAAAAAATAAAACAACCCTCTAGATTTATTTTGTCATAGTTCTGTAAGTTATCAGTTCATGCAAGCTGTGTTGATTCCCCTATTCTAGAGTCAGGGCTGAAATCAGGCGTAAACATACTTGCTCTAATCTGGTAGCTCTGTCATGTTTAGAGTGAGAGCGTTGGTTCTTGGTAGTAGACTGAAGCATCTCTTTGCTTTCTGGCTATTTCTTAGCACCTTCAAATACCTTTAATTCTTATTTATTTCTTATGACCTTTAAGTCAGCTATAGTACTTTTATTCTTTCTTAGACTTTGAATCTCTTGATCTTCTACATCTTTGACTTAAGGGCTTCTTTGAATAGAACGGGCTAAATAACTAGGATAATCTTTCTGTTTCATTTTTTAAATTTTTACATACATCTTCTTGAGTGAGTCTTATTTATCCCAAGCTCACCTTGAACTTGTTTCATAGACATGGGTGGTCTTCAACTGACGGTGGTTTTTCTTCTGTGTTCTGAGTGCTGAGAGTATAGGCGTGTGTATTGAGTGTTGTGGCTCTGTGATACTGATAGGCTCTCTGCTAACTGTACTGCATCTGAGTCAGTCAGTCTGTTTAAAGTCTATCTGGGGACTTGCTTTGTCATGTGTTGGGGTATTTTCTCAGGTTCTAAGAATCCAGGGATGGATTGTTCTCATTTTCCCTGACAGATCAATGCTGTTTCAGGATGTGGGCACCGAGGTAATTAGAGGAGGAGGAGACAGTTGGCTGGCTAGTATTAGGTAGGTTCACAATCCTACGTTTAAGAATCTGAAATTTGTATGTTTTGAACATTATATTAGTGCTCAGAAGTTTGGGATTTTGGCTCTGTTTTGCTGGATACCTGTAATAATCCCAGGACTTGGGAGGCTGAGGCAGCAGGATTATGAGTTCAAGGCTAACCTGTGGTCTGAAGCAAGACTAGAAAAACTCTAGAAAACCCACCAACAAAAAAAGTTTTGTATTTTATATTTTGAATTAAGGATGCTAACCTAGTAATATCTGTGTATAAATATTCCAAATAAAAACAACATACTTGAAACACTTCTGGTCTAAGTATTTTGGGTAATAGTGAATTTGTGTATTTATGCCGTACTATTTTGTCACTATCTCGGAAACATGCTACCAAGGCACATTGAGTGGTTATTGATCTGTCAGTAAAGCTGGAGCTCCTAAAGCTTCTGTCATCTTAATGCAAGGTGATCACAGTGATGTTTGCTCTGCTCCTAGGGAAGAAAGCTCGCACATTTGACTTGGAGGCCATGTTTGAGCAAACTCGAAGGACAGCGGTGGAAAGGAGCCGGAAAACACTGGGTAAGCAGCGCAGGTATCTTCCTTCTGTTGGCTTCAATGCTGTATAAATGTTATATAATTATATTGATAGTGATAAAGCAGGGAAAAAAACCTCCAGAAATGTTGTTTTTATTTACAAACACCCATTTAATTTAAATCAGAATTGCTAAGAGAATTGTAATTGCTAGTTCTTTCTGAAAAAGAATTTAAAATATTTATTTCCCTTTTTAAACATGACAAAACTTGTATTTTGCTTGCATAGAGAAGGTCTGCATACCAGAATCTTGTAAAAGTGTGGTCTGTGGGGCCTGGAGAGATGGATCAGTGGTTAAGAGCACTGGGTTTGATCTGTAGTACTCACGTGGGTGCCCAGACGACCTGGTACTCTGTTTGAGTCTCTGTGGACAGTAGGCAGGTGTGATGCACAGACATAGATGAGACAAAACACCCATGCCCAGGGAATTTAAACAACAAAAATGTAGTTTATGAACAAACAAGGATCCACTATTATAACTTATAGGAAGCAGAATAGCAGTTTTTTTATTATCTCTCCTCCCGCCTCTGTCTGACTTTCATTTCATTTTTTTCTTTCCTGCTTACAGCGGAACCAGTATTTGGAAGGCTGGGCCAGAGGTGGCTGTCACCTTGCTTGTTGACTCAGACAGTGTAGAACACTGTGACATGCACTGAATGTGGCTGCTGCTGTTGATTCCCTGCTTTAATGAGCTGCAGGAGATACTTACTGAAGCCTTAGTCCCAGACTGGCTCTTCCAGATGGTGGGCAGTTCTAGGTACCACCTTAGGGTCTTCAGAGAACACTGGCAATGGGCTTTCTTTGGATCTAACTCAGATCTCTCTTACACTAGAGGAAGGTCTGGAGTCTGGGAACAACTGGATTTAAATCAGTGCTGTGATAGTACTTATTTACAGTTTTGAGACAGGATCACACTCTGGGATCTGGCTGACTCTTTATAGAGAGCAGGTTGGCTTTGACTTCTGTCAGTGTAGCTCCTTCAGCCTCCTGAATGCTGGGATTATAGAAATGAGCCACCATTTGAGTACTTTGATTATACCCAAAGTCAATTTTAATGACAAAGAAGAAGAGATATGGGATCTTACTACGTTACCCTGGGCAGGCTTGACTCACGGACCAAGTTATCCTTCCGTCTCAGCCTCCTGAGCTCTAGGTATTTAGGAGTCCACTACTGAGCCCAGTAGTTAGTTTTGGTTTTAAAATGCTGGATTATGGGGCTGGAAGGTAGCTCAGTGATTAAAAACACTAGATATTCTTCCAGAGCACCTGGGTGGAATTCCCAGCATCCACCTGATGGCTCACAACTCTGACCTCCAGTGTCTGGGGATATGGCACCCTCTTCCGGCCTCCATGGACACTGCACACATATGGTACCCAGACATACATGCAATCAAAAGCACTCATACATGTAACAATAATAAATAAAATGCTCAAAAGTTAAAATAGTGCATTATTTAGCAATAGCATGTGCTATATGGTTGGTGAACTTGAAGCTAATATCATTGCAAGTAAGCCTTTTTTTGTGTGATGTAATATCTATGTGCATGAATTCATATGTACATGTATAATATTTTTGAGACAGGATTTCACTGAAATTCATCATAAAGAATAGGCTGGCCTCAGACTTACAGAAATCCTCAGCCTCTGTTTCCTGAAGGCTGGGATTAAAGGCATGTGCCACTAAGACCCCCCTTCTGTCTTTTATTTATTTATTTATTTATTTATTTATTTATTTATTTAAAGACAAGGTAGCCTGAAACTTGATATGTAGGTTAGACTTGCTTCTAACTCAAAGAGATCCACCTGCTTCTACCTCTCAAGTGGTGGGATTAAAGGCATGTAACACAATGGCTGCTACTGCTTTTTTTTGAACTCCATTATGAGAAATTACAAAACTATAAATAATACTCTTTATATAACTATACGATTATTCATGGTTAGTGTTTTTTTCTGTTATTAGTATAATAATAAACATTTTTTATTTGCTTTTCCTCTCTGGCTATTTTGAAGCAAACCTTAGCCATGTTGTCTCATCTGTCTCTTACCCCTCTTCCATTCCTCCCACCCTAACTGTTTATTGAATCCAGTTCTCTGCATACGGTTAGTAAATTTCTCCCAGTGTAGTATATCCTTGCTCATGCTCTTAAAGACAGTTGGAAGTCTTGTTAGGCAAGCCTCAAACTCTCAGTTGTCTTACTTCAGCCTCCCAAATTTGAGATCATGGGGCTGTACTACCATGTCTGGTAGGATGTATGTATCTGTTTCATGTAAAGCTAGACGTGGTAGCATGTCTGGTCGTATATATGTATCTATATTCTCATGTAAAGCTAGACGTGGTAGCATGCATCTAATTGCAGTGCTTCTAGAGCAAGACAGGTGATGAAGTCAGGAGGATCCCAGGAGCTCGAGGGCCGGCTAGTCTGATGTACTCAGTGGCAAAGGAAAGTACTCGGCAACAAGGTAGAGGGCAAGGATGGATGCCAGAAGTGATGTCTCACCTTCATATGCACAGGGCTGGAGGTGGGAGGCAGAAAAAACAACTTAGTATCTTCTAAAAGGGTAAATGAAACTGTTTTTCCTACTCGGTACTTGTGATACCAGAGTGTGTGAGAGTTTCTCACCATAAAGTAACTAGGGATCTATTGGCATCAACTGAAGGTCCAGTCCTTTAGTTGAGTCTTGGTGTCATCTACCTCGAGATAGGGTTCCTCAACTTTGGATGCTAATCACAGATTCTAGGGTGTGACCTTGTCTTTGATTCCCTGGAAGCAGGGAACTGGACTGGTTTGTGAGAGTCTGGATGGTACAGATGAGCAGCCAAAGGGGAGATTCAGTGGGTTAGGTGTGTGCCTTCTCTGTTTAAACCCACCCTGAATGGTGAGCAGGTCTAGATTCATCAAAGCTAATGCTTTCTAGAAGTTTTTATAGAGTGAATGTATCGCATGTTCCCACAGTAGTAGGGCTAGCTAACGACCCTCCCTAACTTCAGTGATGTAGATGTTGGTGTGACCAAAACAGTTCCTAGCGATTAACAAAAGACAGTTCCTGTCACTCAGGATTTTAGGAACATTGAGTCAAAATACATGTCACATTGTACTCCAGCACGTCTGAAAAAATCAACTATAACGATGAAGTAAAAACAGAACAAAACATGCTATTTTGGGTGTATTTGGAAATAATAAAGGATTTAGAGAATTTTTATTCTATCAGAGGCATCTTGTGTTTAAGTGTCTCATACAAAATGCTTTGGACAACAGGTTTTTTTTTTATTTACATAAGTTATGTCATTTCTGGCCACATAGGTTCTCAATACACATTTGAAATGAAATTGAATTTAGAGCTATAGTAATTATCTCTTGTCTGTCTGTCTGTCTGTCTGTCTGTCTATCTATCTATTAACCAATCATCTATTTATATACTTGCTTGTTTTTGAGGGACAGTTTAATGTAGCTCAGGCTGGCCTTGAAACTGTATAGCCTTGACCCTACTGTGTCTACATTTCAAGTGCTGGGATTACAGAGCTATACCAGCACCACAGTTTTATGTGGTGCAAGGGGTGAAAGTTGGGTCTATATAACTAACCCAAATACTGCTTAAAAAAAATAATAGTCCTTATTTAGAGATGGTTTTAAATGGCCTAACCTATTTAGAGTTTGGCATGAAAGGTTGGAGAACCTTGGTTTAAAAAGCAGCTCTGTATCCTAGAATATGAGGAAAACTGGACAGGATTTCAATATTTTCTGATCGCTATCATGTGGGTATGATGTCATTCATCTCAGCACATTCTTGGGTAGGTTAAACATTGGGCATCTTACCTTATAAAGTACTGTTTACATATCCTTTTAAATTTCTGTTGGACATGTTTTTTTCTAAAGCATGTATACATAACACTTAAGGGGTTTTGAGGAATTATTAGGTTTATACATTTTATAAAAAGTTTGAGAATAAATTCAGTGTGTGGAACTCTGTTGGCCTAGTACCACAGTCTTTGTTCAATTTCAACTGCGGCTTCTACTGAACTCAACATGTGAATCTCTGTTGAACATTTAGTTGAAAAAGAAAAATGAGGGCTGGAGAGATAGCTCAGGGGTTAAGAGCACTGACTGTTCTTTTACAGGTCCTGAGTTCAATTTCCAGGAACCACATGGTGGCTCACAACCATCTGTAATTGGGATTCAATACCCTGCTCTGGTGTGTCTGAAGACAGCTGTAGTGTACTCATATAAATAAAATAAATAAATCTTAAAAAAAAAGAAAAAGAAAAATGAAAGTTCACTTTAGCTTCAGTAGGCTGTTTGGGATAATTTATGTATATGCAGAAGCAATTACATTCTATGGGAAATGGTTCATTTTAAGAGTTGTAAGAGATTATTTTTGTATTCTCCCAGCTTGGAGCATTAAATTATATTCAGATTATAAAATTAAACTTGATACACAATTTCATGGACTTTAAAAAGTTATTTGTGTGTTAATGTGTGTGGTATGTGTGCGTAGAGGGGGAGGTCAGGGTGATTTTCGAGAGTGCTTTCTCCTATTACATGGGTCATGGGGATTGAACTTGTGTCAACAGGCTTGGCAGCAGGTGCTTTTATAAGCTATTAGCTTGCTGGCCCTGACTTCATTATAAATGGACAAATTGTATCATGATTCTTACTGCTGATAGTGAAGTCTTTCTTTTGTTACTCAGATCATACTTAGTGGTCAAGCTTGTGTGACTGAGAATTTCCGATTTTCTGCTTTCACTTCTTCAATCCTGTGATTATAGATGTGTGTTACCATGCCTGGCTTTGACTATGGTTTTAATGGGTGATTTAATATCTGAGAAGAGAAAATACTAAAGAAAAATTTAGAAGTTAGGCTTCTGTTTTTTTTTTTTTAAAACCTCAAATTTTTTTTTCTTTTCTATTTATTTATTTATTTTATGTATTCACCATTGCTCTCTTCAGACACACCACAAGAGGGCATCAGATCCTATTACAGATGGTTG